CGAGCTGCTTGGCACGCTGGAGCACGGCGGGGGGCATGGTGCCCTGCTCGCCGCGGTACGACTCCAGCAGCACCGCGTGGTCCGTGATGTTCTTCATCTTGTGCAGGAACCACCGGTCGATCTTGGTCAGCTCGTACAGCCGCTCGATGGAGTACCCGGCCCGCAGCGCCGCCGCCAGCACAAAGATCCGCTTGTCCGTCGGCGTCTCCAGCTCCTGCCAGGCCGGAGGGGTGAGCAGGGCTGGGGAAGGTAGGTGGCCACCTCTCCCCCAGGACTGCACCAGCAGCACACACCCCCCAGACCCCAGTGCTCACCACGTCCGAGGCCGGCTTCACCATGTGGTCAAAGCCCACGCAGTTCTCATCCACCATCCTCAGCGCCTTCTGGAACGCCTCCTCGAAGTTCCTCCCGATGGCCATGACCTCCCCTGCAGAGGGAGAGGTGAGCAGCCGGACCCCACGCCCACCCCCTGCCCGCGGGCGCTGCCGCCCCCCGCGCTCACCCACGCTCTTCATGGAGCTGCCGATCTTGGTGCTGACACGCAGGAACTTGCTGAGGTCCCAGCGCGGGATCTTCACCACGCAGTAGTCCAGGCTGGGCTCGAAGTTGGCTGTGGTGGAGTTGGTGACGGAGTTCCTGGGGAGGGGACGGGGGTCAGCGGCCGGGGCTGTCCCACTGTGGCAGCGCCTCGTCCTGTGTTGTGGCAGCACCTTACCTGAGGACGGGTAGGGGGATGCCCAGGGCCAGCTTGGCGGCCACGTAGGCCAGCGGGTAGCCGGTGGCCTTGCTGGCCAGGGCTGAGCTGCGGGAGAGCCGGGCGTTCACCTCGATGATGTAGTACTGTGGGCAGCGGACAGGCAGGGTCAGCGGGGGCCGTGGGACATGGCTGAGCCGGCGACACGGCCGGACCCGCTGGATCCCAGAGATGCCAAAGCACAGGGAGGCACAGACTCATGGGGCAGAACCCAGAGCACCCCAGGGTAGGGTTGGACAGGGGTTGGGAGTGGGATCCAGGACTTTCAGGGAGCTGCTTGTACCTGCTCCGACTCGGGGTTGAGGGCGAACTGGATGTTGCACTCGCCCACGATGCCCAGGTGCTGCACCACCTTGATGGCCGTGCGCCGCAACATGAAGTACTCGGTGTCATTGAGAGTCTGGCTGGGCGCCACCACGATGGACTCGCCCGTGTGGATCCCCAGCGGGTCCAGGTTCTCCATGTTACACACCTGGCAGTGGGGGGTCACTGTGAGCTGGGGGTTCCCCAGCACCCCACGTGCTGCCCATGGCAGGTCCCTCCCAACTCCCACCACGTCCTCCCCTGCCCAGCCTGGGCTGGAACACAAGCCCCCGGGACACCCATTGTGTTCAGCCCACCCAGAGCAGGGGGGTGCAGGGCTCTGGCTCACGAGGTGCAGCTCCCAGTGGCACACAGGAGCTGTGCCGGCACCACGGGAGGCACAGGGGAGCTCTCCCTGGGGACAAGGTCCAGCAGGAGCCCCCACCCCCAGCACCTGCCTCATGTCCATCCCCCCTCAGTGGCCCGGAGGTCTCCCCCCATCCCATACCGTGACACAGTTGTTGTAGGCGTCCCGCACCACCTCGTACTCAATCTCCTTCCAGCCCTTGAGGGACTTGTCCACCAGCACCTGGGAGGTGTGGGTGAAGGCCTGGCTCACCAGGGCCACCAGCTCCTCCCGGCTGTTGGCGAAGCCAGAGCCCAGCCCCCCAAGGGCGTAGGCAGAGCGCACCAGCACCGGGTACCCCAAACGCTCGGCCGCTGCCTGTGCCTGCAGGGAACAGAGGGGTGATGGTGGGAACGGGAAGAACAGGCCCCTGCCCTGTCCCGCAGCCCCACAACCCACCCCGAACCTGCTCCAGGGAGGTAGCAGCCTCGCTGGGTGCCACGTGCTCCCCGATCTCTTCCATCTTCTCCGCGAAGACCTTGCGATCCTCCGTCATCTCGATGGAGGCGACGGGGGTGCCCAGCACCCGCACGTGGTACTGCTCCAGCACGCCCGCCTTGGTCAGCTCCACCCCACAGTTCAGGGCCGTCTGCCCCCCGAAGGTCAGCAGCACCCCGTCGGGGCGCTCATTCCGGATCACCTGGGGGGCACAGGGCGGTGAGACAGAAACCATGGCGGGTCTTGTGTCCTCCTCCAGCTGCTACCACGCCTGTGCTGCCCACCAAGTCCCTTACACTCCCACCCAGCCCTCCATACACCAGTCCTTCAGCCATCCCCCAGCCCAGCCATCCCTGCACCCCCAAACTGCCCAGGGTGCTCACCTGTGTGACGTACTCAGGGGTGATGGGCAGGAAGTACACCTTGTCTGCCAGCCCCTTAGAGGTCTGCACCGTGGCGATGTTGGGGTTGATCAGCACCGTCTGGATGTTCTCCTCCCTCAGCGCTTTGATGGCCTCATGGGGAACAGAGGGGTCACGGCTGGTGTCCCTGGGCCCCTGCCACCCCAGTGACCCCCATCGCTCCCTGTGCCCTGCTGTGGGTGCTCACCTGTGACCCTGAGTAGTCGAACTCGCCTGCCTGCCCGATGGAGAGGCCGCCGGAGCCCAGGATCAGCACCTTGCGGGGCTGGGCCACGTCTGGGCCTCCTGCCGGCACCTTGGTGTAGGTCAGCCAGTCCCGCAGGCGCTCCCGCACTGGAGGGACACGGCACGCTGGGGATGGGGCTACGGGGACCCCGGGCACAGCCCTGGCCCGCAGCCTCTGCCCCACGGCCATGCCATGGCCCTGGCCGCCCCTCACGCTCACACCCACCCGTCCGGGCTCCGCCGTCCCCATTCTGCAGGTCTCGCGCCGCCTCCACGAAGACATCAAAAAGCCCCTCCAGGTCCGTGGGTCCGGCACAGTGCTCGGGGTGAAACTGGACGCTGCGGAGGGGGGTCAGGCAGGGCACAGCCCTGGGCCCCCCTGCAACCCCAGTCATGGCCCCACAACCCCCGGCCCCCGCTGCGGCCCCGCGCCCACCTGAAGAAGGGCTTGTGCTGGTGGACGAGGCCCTCGTTGGAGCCGTCGTTGGCGTTGGTGAAGAGCGGGGCCCAGCCGGGCGGGAGGCTGCCCGCCTCCACCGCGAAGCCGTGGTTCTGCGCCGTGATGAAGCAGCGCTGTGTGTCCTCGTGCAGGCACGGCTGGTTGTGCCCACGATTCCCATACCTGGGCAGTGGGACGGGTGTCATGTGGCCCCGGCAGCCGGGACCCCACGGTGACCCCGGCCCCAGCCCCCCACTCACTTCATCTTGTAGGTGCGGGCACCGAGGGCCAGGGCGAGCAGCTGGTGCCCCAGGCAGATCCCAAAAACCGGCTTGGGCTGGGGTGCATCCAGCACCCGGCGCAGGCTGGACACCGTCTCCTGGCAGAGCTGCGGGTCCCCAGGGCCATTGCTGATGAACAGCCCGTCAAAGTCTGTGCCAAGAGAGCAGTGGGGTCAGAGTGGGGCCCCCCAGCCCCTCAAAGGCACAGTAGGGCCCACCAAGGTCCCCACTGGGTCACAGCAGCCCAGCAGTGAAGCACCCTGAGCCCCCAACACCTCAGCAGGGTCACACCAAGATGCTCTGACCCCGCAACACCCGTCGCAGTGGCAGCAACGGCCCCCCCGGTCCACCATGACTTCCCTTGCAGTCACATTAGGGCCCCTCAGTACCACAGTCCAGAGCCCCTCAAGCCAATCACAGCAAGGCACCCCAGGCCCACGGCCCCCCTCCTGCAGTGTCACACTGAGGGCCCTGAACCCAGAAGCCCCCAGGAAGGACGACACCGAGACCCCTCAGCCCATGGCACGGATCAGGACACAGGTACCTGCTGCCCCCAGCACCAACCAAGCAGACAGCCCTAGCTCCAGACTCCACCGAGGGGTGGGGCCCCAGGACATCCCTGGCCAGTGTCATCTCACCTGCAGTGTCCAGCGGGTGGTCCCAGGGCACCACGGTGACGGCCGCCCCCAGCTTGCACAGGCACCGCACCTGGTTGTTCTTGAGGCCGCAGTCGAGGGCCGTGATGCGCAACGACCCGCCGGGGTTGAACACGAGTGGCCCCTGCAGGGGGTGGGGGTGGATTGCCCGGTCCCCCCGCGGGGACCAGCCCCCCCAGGAGGGGCTCTGCAGCCCCCACCACTGCCCCCTAGCCCCGCCCAGCCCTCCCCCCCTCGCACCTTCAGCGACACCTCCTGCACCAGGTGCCGCTTGTTGGGGTCCTCAAAGGAAAGGCTCTCCTCGGGGGTCCCGTCCGGCACCAGCTTCCCCAGCAGCGTCCCCTTCTCGCGGATCTTCTTCGTCAGCGCCCGGGTATCCACCCCTGCGGGTGGGCTGTGAGACACAACCCCACGGCCCTGGCCCACCCCAGCGGGACCCCGCGCCCCAGCGGGACCCCGCACCCCAGCAGCATCGTCATCCCCAAATCCCAACACTGGGTTGACCTCCATGGGGGCAAATCCCAACACAGAGACGGGACCAGCTCAGAACTCACAGATCCCCAACCCCCAGCGCTGCCAATAAAACCTGACAGACGAGGTTATCGACTCTCCAGAAACACAATCAATGGTCACTACAATATCAATTGTACAGTCTAGATAAGAACTAGTCTAATTTGGGAAAGTGTACCACTGTGGATCCCTATTCGAGCACCATGCACCGTCCAGGGTTGGGAGCGCGGATCATGAAGCCTACAGATGGATGTCAGGGTATTCCCTGCGCACTCGCCCACCACCAGTGCAGCCACGTGGATCTTGCTGGACTCGAACCACTGGGGGAGCAGGGGGGGAGCAGGGCTAGGGGGGTGGTCACCAGCCCAGAAGTCCCAGGAGACACAGATCCCTGGCCCACAGTATGGGACCAGCCCCCCCCAGTGCTGGGCTGCCACTGCCCCCACCTTGTCCCACACCCATCCTGGCGGGGCTGAGCCTTGGTCCGGGGGAGGGCTGCTGACAGAGAGACCCCCATGTGTGGGGAGGTCAGAATAGCACGGCCACAGCGGGCCTGGACTCTGCCCTGGGACGAGCAGCCTGGAGGCTTGAGGGGGTGGGAGGGGGCTGGGGCCTTGAGCGGGCCCAGCACTGCCTTGCCCTGGGGGGCTGGGACCCCCACTCTGCAATGGAGCCCTGGCAAGGACACATACACAGCCCCACTCCCCAGGTGCTGCAAGGGCACCCCAGTCCCAGGTCTCCCCCTGCCCAGACCCAGTCCTTGGCATGTCAGAGCGCCCTGGACTCTGCCGTGGCTCTGGCCTGGCAGGATCAGAGTCAAGCCTCCACCTACCACGACATGCCACTCGCTGCCCTGCCCTAGCACCCTGTGCCATCCCGTCATGGCACTCTGTGCTGTCCTGCCCCGGCATTCTGTGCTGTCCTGCCCTGGCACCTCGTGCTGTCCATCCTGCCCTGGCACCCAGCACTATCCCGTTCAGCCACCACGACGGGACACGCTGCCCCCGGCCCCCCTCGCTCACCCTGCTGAGGCCGAAGGCGTCGGGCTCGTCCCGGGGCACCCCGTAGTTGCCGACCAGCGGGTAGGTGAGCACCAAGATCTGCGCCTTGTAGGAGGGGTCGGTGAGTGCCTCGGGGTACCCCACCATGCCGGTCTGGAACACTGCGCGGGGATCGGGGTGGGAGTGATGGGATGTCCCGCCGCGGGGCACTGAGCCGGGCCGATCCCGGGGACCCCGAGTGGGGGGAGTCTCCGGGCCGGGCCGGACCGGACCCGCCGTTCCCTCCCCTCCCCGCCGCCGGTCTCGGGCCGCCCCCCGACATCCCGACATCCCGACATCCCGACATCCCGACATCCCGGCCCCGCCCGGCCCGGCCCGGCCGCACTCACCGACTTCCCCGGCGACGGCGGCCCCGGCGGCCCCGAAGGGGCGGCCGCGCAGCACCGACCCGTCCTGCAGCAGCAGCCGGGCCATGGCGGCGCCACGTGCGCTCCGGCGGCCCCGCGGCGGCGGCCGAGCGGCGGAGCGGGGGCGGCGGGAGGATCCGGGGCGGGGCCGCGCCGGGACCGCCCCGGGGCGGGGCGGCGGCACCTGGAGCACCGACCGGGGGGCTCCGGGGGCTCCGCGGGGCGGGAGGGGAGGGGGCGCAGCGACCGGGGACCCGACCGCGGGTGCGCGGGGAACGGCGGAGCGCGGGCGGTGGGGCCGGAGCGGGAGGGGACCGGGCTGAGTTGCACCGGGGCGGGACGGATGTGGAGTTTGGATAGTCAGAGGAGTTTTAAGCGCAATAGTAGAAATACCGCGTGGAATTTGCGTTCAGCCGCTGTACATCGTTAAATCTATTTTTCACCGCTTTTGTCAGGGGAGAGCGCGAACGCAGTCCCCCACTACCACAAATTATGCAGTCGAGTTTCCCGCATTTGGGGAAATCGCAGGGGTCAGCACACCCGGAGTGCAAGGGATGAGCCTCGCCCTGGGAAAACCACCTGCCTGATCATGGTGTCTCCCCTGCCAGGTAAGTATGACTCCACCTCCCCGGCCCCACCGCGCCCGCCCCGCGCACCCACCCCGAGCACACGCTCACCGACCACCCGGCCCCGCCCCCGCGCGGCCCCGCGCTCCCCACCGTCCCGCACGGCCCCGCCCGCGCAGCAGCGCCCGCGGACGCGCGTGGCCGCGGGGTCTGTGTGCGGGACGTGTCCCGGCGTCCCCCGCGAGCTGTGTTGATTTGCATGGACACGCCCTCTTGCGCTAAGGCCCCGCCCCTCTCAGAGCTCGGCCGCTCGAGCGTGGCCCCGCCCCCTCCAGGCCCCGCGGGTCCCGCCGCAACCGGGTCCGGGCGGTGCCGCGCGGGGCTCGTGTGTCACCACCGACCGTGTGACATGGACAGGTTGACATGATGGCACCTACAGGGTCCATACACAGACACCTTCACAGCCCGGCGACCCCCAGTGCTGGGACCGTGGGGTCTGGGTGCTGGTGGTGCGTGGTGAGAGCAGATGCCCTCTGAGGAGCCACCCACAAGAACACGGTGCTGTGGAAGTGCCCACGCACCCTCCGTGGGGAAGGTGAGGGGCTGTTAAACACCAGCAATCGTGGCACCCCAGACCCACCAGGTCCAGCACCCCATGCTTGTGACCCCATGGACCCCAACGTGCCCTCAGCCAACACCACTCCCCACAGTCCCTCTGCTGCTGTCTGGGCACTGCTGATTTGGCTCTAACAGCACATGCTGTCCATGTGCAGAGCAGAGGGTGGAGAATAGCAATGGCCTTTCACAGAATTAGAGGAGAACTTCTGGCACTCTTTGAAACATCTGGAGCAAAACCTTTGGGTGAGCGGGGGTGGCTCCCGGGTGTGGGAGGATGGATAAGGAAACTGCTGGGGCTGGCACAGAGGGCTGGTTGGGTTTGCTGGTTTTGGTCGTTGTGTCTGTGAGGGTTCAGCTGATCTGACCTGGGACCAAACTAGGATGTGAGAGGCTGGAACGAGGCCTGGATTGGGCAGGCAAGGACCAGAGGAATGATGCTGAGTGCAGGAGGGGATGGGGAGAAAGAGGAGAGGAGGTGGAAAGGCTTGGACTGGAGACTGTCAGTGGCTACACAGTCCATCCCCAAGCTGGGGTGATGGGAGACCCGGGACACAGTGGTGAGGGAGGGACTCCAAGATACGGGTGCCAGGAGCCCCTGTGACGCAGCTCCGGCAGCGGCACCGAGGTGCTGTGAGTCCCCCGGCTCACAGTGCAGTGTCAATGGCCGGTGAACGCGCCGTCGGCACTGCCAGTGCCCCGGCTCGGGGGCACGGGCCAGCCCGACCCGGGCCATCAGCCCTCGGCGGGACCGAGCGAATGAGGGGCGAGCCCCGGGGCGGGGAGTCCGCGCTGGAGCCGCCGGCGCGTCGGTTCCGCGGGTGCGGCGGGAACCGGGAGCGAGCGGGACCAGGACGGGCGGAGGGACGGGGCCTGGCGGGCGGGGCGGGGCCACACGAGTATGTACTGACTGAGGGGGCGGGGTCTTGTAGATGAGGAGGCTGGGATATGCAAATAACACACCACTCGCGGGGGACGCCGGGACACGTCCCGCACACAGACCCCGCGGCCACGCGCGTCCGCGGGCGCTGCTGCGCGGGCGGGGCCGTGCGGGACGGTGGGGAGCGCGGGGCCGCGCGGGGGCGGGGCCGGGTGGTCGGTGAGCGTGTGGTCGGGGTGGGTGCGCGGGGCGGGCGCGGTGGGGCCGGGGAGGTGGAGTCATACTTACCTGGCAGGGGAGACACCATGATCAGGCAGGTGGTTTTCCCAGGGCGAGGCTCATCCCTTGCACTCCGGGTGTGCTGACCCCTGCGATTTCCCCAAATGCGGGAAACTCGACTGCATAATTTGTGGTAGTGGGGGACTGCGTTCGCGCTCTCCCCTGATCACGTTGTTCAAAAGACAGATGTGGGATTTAAGGCAATGCTTGAGGTGCGCAGGTCAGGCGGTGCTGCGGGTCGGGCGCTGGGCCTCCACAGCTGGAGGTGGCGGAGTGAAAGCGGAGAAGCGTCCCCTGGACGGGGACGTGGCGAGGGACACCGGAGCAGCGGGATGTGGGACCGCGGGTGTTGGGGGCGAACCTCGAGGTGTCCGGGATCCTCCGAGTAGGCAGGAAATCTGTGTTGGGGGCCCGCTCGCCCTCCCGGTGCGAGGCTCGGGAATAGCCGGGGGTCCTGGGGCATCACAGGACGCCCTCTCCGAAGAGGCACTGCCGATGCCCGGGAGACGCATCCACATTCCCGGCTGGAATTAGCCAGCGGATCCCTAAGGGCGGGCTCTGGGCTTCTGTGCCTGGAACCGGAACGATCCCGGGAATCACCCGCGGGAGCGGGTCCGCGCAGGGGAAGAGTGGTGGAAGTGCCGGTCCCGCTCCGCTGTTACTGTTAATTGGCAAATAAGAAGCCCCTAAGCCTCAGTTTGTGAGCATTAGTGGGCAGGCGTTCTTTATTATCAGCACTGGACACACAGGGAGGACTGCTTCCCTAATCATCTGTGTGTCCTGTTCTCGCTCAGCGTACCTAATATGTACGTACAATTTTACATATAAATGTCTTACGTATTCACTACTTTTCTCAGAAAGTTCATTCAGATGTTACTTAGCTCTGAGAAGTTCCTCGGAAATCCTTATTTGGTCACTAGGGGACTTCTGGTGCTCTCTTGGTGGTCTCTGATGGTCTTCTGGAGCTTGAACTTACCTTGCACTTGTCCGTTGATCAGCGTATTTACAGCTGGTTACAGAGAGCCTTTGTTCAGCATCTCTTATCGAAAACCGGATACTTCCGTTACAACTACTCTAACTGAAAGCATTCATACGCTTGCTAATCTTGCAACTGAACCCTGACAGAAACTCACATCGCTAAGGCCCGTGGGAAATACTGAATGCGGATACGGCCCTGAGTGCCCGGTATTGCACACGGACACGGACACGGACAGAGCTGCATCCCCTTCGAGATCTGTCCTTCAACCCCCATGTCAGGGGAGAGCGCGAACGCAGTCCCCCACTACCACAAATTATGCAGTCGAGTTTCCCGCATTTGGGGAAATCGCAGGGGTCAGCACACCCGGAGTGCAAGGGATGAGCCTCGCCCTGGGAAAACCACCTGCCTGATCATGGTGTCTCCCCTGCCAGGTAAGTATGACTCCACTTCCCCGGCCCCACCGCGCCCGCCCCGCGCACCCACCCCGAGCACACGCTCACCGACCACCCGGCCCCGCCCCCGCGCGGCCCCGCGCTCCCCACCGTCCCGCACGGCCCCGCCCGCGCAGCAGCGCCCGCGGACGCGCGTGGCCGCGGGGTCTGTGTGCGGGACGTGTCCCGGCGTCCCCCGCGAGCTGTGTGTGATTTGCATGGACACGCCCCATCCCGGAGGCCCCGCCCCGGCCCTCGCGCAGGGCAGCGCCCCCTGGCGGATCCTCCCGAATGGATTCGGATCCGTTGGATCCCTCGGAACGGAGGGAAGCGGGGGCTGTTTGTTTAACGGGCGTTCGGTTGGGCAGTTCGTGCCGGGGATTAGAAAGAAACTCGGGAAGAGAGAAGGAGCACCGGGGGCGGTTGTTTCCCCAGTGATGTCTGTAACCACAGGGAAGAGGGAGAAGGGAAGGAAGAGAGCCGGGTGAAATTCCCAAATCCGTTGTCAGCCGCCCCAACTGACGTGCAGGGACACGGAGGAGGCAGAGGGTGAGGTGGATTTTGGGGGCGAGGGTGGGGATTAACACCCCTCCAGAAGGATCAGGGTGCCTGTTGCAAACAGGAGGGGCACGGGGAAAAGGAGTGTCCTGAATTGCAAACGGACAGAAGGGAGAATCAGAAGAGATGGGATTTATGGCAGAAATTGGGCTGGACTGAAGGGGACCGGTCCTCAGGCCAGTCCTCAGGTTCCAGGTAAGCTGGGGAACGGAACAATGGATTTTCTAGTGGATACTGGAGCAGCTCATTCCAGGTCCTGGCCCTGAGGGACCTTTAGCAAAAGGAAAGTGGGTGTTGTTGCTGGGAAATTCCCCCGGGACAGGGAATCCCCCAGACCGTTTCACACCCCGTGGAGTTCACGACTGGGAACACAAAATGAACTCATGGCTTTCTCCACAGGCCGAGTGTCCTTCGCCATTGCTTGGGCAGGATTTGCTGTGCAAGTTAAATGCACAGTTGACTTTTCCTCAGGACTCTGTCCAGCTGCATATTCCTCTGGAAAACGCATGGAAAGCACAGCTCTGCCCACTCCCCGAGGGAAACCTGCAGTCAAGGGAATCTCCAGTGAAGTTTTAGGTGCAGTTGTACCATTGGTTTGGGCTCTGGGAACCCCGGGATGAGCGAGAAACCCGAGTCTGGTAAAAACTGAACTGAAACCAGGAGTGCAAGTGGTAAGACAAGACCAACACCCCAGAAAATGAAGGGTCTGGAGAGCACTGGAACCATTAATAGAGTGATTTTTAGAGTTTGGGTTGCTGCCAATCAGAATGTAACACTCCAGTCCTGCCAGTGAAAAAGAGCAGTGCAGGAGTGATGGGGAGGTAATGCCTGGACACCTGATGTTCATTCAGTTGTCCCAAATCCCGACATCCTTCTCACCTCAATCCCAGAGACCAATATGGACTTTGCAGTGTTGGATGTGAAAGATGCCTTCTCTTGTGTCTCTGTGGGTGAACAGAGTCACCTTGTCTGTGTCTTTGAATGGGAAAAGCCAACTCAGAGCAGGGAAATGATATCAAGCCCCTCAAGATTTAAATCTAACTTTGCAATTTTTTTCAGTTGTTCAGCAGTAGCTGCAGCTGGACAGCTGTGATCAACAAATTCCATTGTGAACGTCCTGCACTCGGCTGATCCTTTGTTTCAAGGAAAACAGGAGACAACCCCAAGAGCAGTGGGCTGTCTGGACAGGAGCCTCCAGGAGTGTTGTCAGCAGGACTGAGCAGTACCTGGGGAAAGGTAATTCCAGCAGTGGGAGATGGTGACCAGTGACCCACTGACCACCTGCTCAGAATGGCCCCCGACTGAAAGAGAGGGAGGAGCTGCCCCTGCAGAGGGAGGGATGAGCGTGGGAAGGGAGGGACACCCAGCACAGAGAGGTTTCAGTGCTAATTGATAACGACTTGTGTAACCTGTAACCAAGGAACACTGGTGCCTTTGTTTGCCAAATGTATAAATGCTGATGCTCGGGAAGCGGGGAACGGCCTTGGGGGAACCTCCAGCTCCCGTCTCTGCGCTAACAGGGATAAAACCCAGGAATCCCTCGCCTGGGGGTGGGAATTGGCACGGCGGTGGGGACAGCGGTCCCGCTCCAGCCCACGGGACTCAGTCCCAGCGTCAGGGAGCGCCCGGGGCAGGACGAGCCGCCCGTGCTGGGCTCGGGGCAGCGGCTCCGGGAGCTCCCGGCGGTGCCCGGGCCGGACCGAGGGGCTGCGGGACCCGCGAAGCAAAGGGGGAGGAGCCTCATCGGAGGGGCGTGTCCATGCAAATCATTCAGCACTCGCGGGGGACGCCGGGACACGTCCCGCACACAGACCCCGCGGCCACGCGCGTCCGCGGGCGCTGCTGCGCGGGCGGGGCCGTGCGGGACGGTGGGGAGCGCGGGGCCGCGCGGGGGCGGGGCCGGGTGGTCGGTGAGCGTGTGGTCGGGGTGGGTGCGCGGGGCGGGCGCGGTGGGGCCGGGGAGGTGGAGTCATACTTACCTGGCAGGGGAGACACCATGATCAGGCAGGTGGTTTTCCCAGGGCGAGGCTCATCCCTTGCACTCCGGGTGTGCTGACCCCTGCGATTTCCCCAAATGCGGGAAACTCGACTGCATAATTTGTGGTAGTGGGGGACTGCGTTCGCGCTCTCCCCTGATCATGTTGTTCAAAAACAGAGTGACAGATGAGGAAGCGCTCCAATTGTGCTGTGTCTGTTTTTTTCTCTCGGCACCCCGATGTGCGTCCTGTCCAGCACTTTTCCGGGCCGGGCCGGAGCATCCTGATGCTCGGCAGGGAGTTCCTCTGCAGGGACGTTCCTTCTGCTCGGTCCCAGTTCGTTCTGACCGAGAGCGCCCCGGGCCCACTGCCTGTCCCTCCCCCCACTCGCAGCCTGCACGGGGGGTGGGGGGGGCGCGATTTGCATCTCCCTGTCCTCTCCCCTATCGATGATGGTTCCACCGAGCCCCTGCTCCCCTGCCTGGGAAGGAACTGGACGGACACACGGTGAAAACCTGTGGCTTTATTGATCCCTGGCAGCCACAGGGACAGCCGGGCCTGGGCACAGAGACCCCCAGGCCAGGGGGTCCCCTGCCCATCCGCAGCCCCCTGCCCCACTCAGGGGGTCTTGGCCTTCCTCCGCTGGGTGCCCCACAGCAGCAGGGACAGGGATACGGTGGCAGTGCCCAGGATCCCACTGAAGAGTAGTACCGGGAACGTGCCCTGCCCGGGAGCAGCGGTGAGCGGTGCCAACCCCTGCAGCCCCCCAAAGCCCTCCCTGATCCATCTGGGGGGCAGCCAGAGAGGGGTCCTGTCCCACTGGTGCTCACCTCGCGCAGGCACTTGTAGCCGTGGAAGGGGCTGTCACAGAGGCACTGGACGAGGCCGGGGCCATCGGGGGCACACGCCGAGTTTTCGGGACACGGCCAGGCTGGCAGAGCAGAGCGGGGGGTCACGGGGCCCAGGACAGACCCCACTGCCAGCCCCAGGCACCCACTGCCGGGGTCACTGTCCCCCCGCCGTACCGAGCTCCGCGGAGCCATTGCAGGGGTTTTTCTGGCCCCGGCACTGCCGGATGCTCCCGTCCACTGTCACATCCTGCCAGGCGTCACTCCCGCCCGGACACTCCAGCGCCGCCGGCACCGCGCTGAGGACAGAGCTCAGCACCAGACTGCGGGGACCCCCAGCCCCGACCCCCCGGCACTCACAGGAGCTGCAGGTGGGTGAAGCCCAGGAAGGAGCCGTTGGGGAGGGACGTCAGGGGGTTCTCAGTCAGGTCCCTGTGAACAGACGGACCTTCAGCCCCGTCCGGCACCCCTGGCCTGGTGGGCACTGGGGTCCCTCCGGACCTCACTGAACCTCAGCCAGTTCCCATACCCCCCATTTCCCCCCAAGGCCCTGGGGGTGCAGCCCCCCCAGCCCCCAGGGCTCAGAGCTCCCAGTGGAGCTGCTGAGGGAGGGGCTCGGTCACTGCCGTCGCTAACAAAGACCCGGAGCTGGGCCCAGCGGGGTGCCCTGAGCTCTGCACACCCAGCCCTGACAGTGCCCTGGGCGGGGCCGTCCAGCCGAGCCACCCCCGCCCCCATCTCTCCAGCCTGGGGACAAGGACGCCGTGTGGGACCGTGGAACAGCCCCTCCACCATGGGCAGAGGGGGTCCCGGGGGACTCACAGGACGATGGCAGCGGTGGCCTCGGCCAGTTCCGGGGGGACACTGTGCAGGGAGCAGTTGCTCAGGTCCAGCCTGGGAGGGGGCAGCAGTTGGGGGGGGACAGTAGCACACCTGGTACCCCCGTACCGCCCCCCCCATTCCCATGACCCCCCTGTGACACTCAAAACCCACCCTGGCCCCTTCCTGTGCCCGCCCGACCTCCACCCTGCATGTCCTCCATCCAGGCACCCCCCCCTCCCGCCATTCCCTTGACCCCCCTGTGACCCCAAACACCCCCTCCGGCACCCCCCGCCCCCCGAGCACCCCCGTCACGTGGCCCCCGACCCCCCCCAGCACCCCCAGACTCGCCCCCAGCCTGTGCGTCCCAGTCCCCCCCGCACTCCCCGTCCCACCCGTACCCCAGCAGCCGCCCCGGGGGGGCTCCCCTCTCCCGGCAGCAGCGCCCGTCGTTCTCGGTGTCGCCCCGGGACTCACAGAACCGGGACACAATGGAGCCGTTCCGCGGCGGCCCCGGGCAGCTCCCGCACACCTTGGGAGGGCCAGGAGGGCATGGGCAGCGCCGGCACCGGGGGCAGCCCCCGATCCCGGGCACCCCCGGACCCCGGGTACCCCCCAATCCCCGGGCACCCCCGATCCCCGGACAACCCTCGGCCTCGGGGCAACCCCCGACTTCCCCGACCGCCGGACACCTCCAAGGCGGTCACCCCCGAACCGCGGGGCATCCCCGGCCCCCAGGTCACCCCCCGATCCCGGGGCAGCCGCGATGCGGGCACCCGGACCGGGCACTCGCCGACCCTCGGTGCCCCCGTCCCGGGCACTCCTTGACCTCTTGGCGCCTCCGATCTGGGGCATCCTCCGCCCACCCCAGCCCCCCGTTCCCGTGCCCCGTCGCTCACTGCGGCCCCGCGGGCGGTCCGGGGCAGCAGCAGCGGCAGCAGCAGCGGCAGCAGCAGCGCGACCGCGCCCATGGCGCCGGGCTGTCCCTCCCCTCCGCGGGCCGGGCGGCCTCTGGACCCGAGCGGGGCGGCGGGGGGCCCCCCGCGGCGCGGGCAGCGGGGCGCGGTGACCGGCCGAGGCAGCGGAGCGCGGCGGGGCCGGGATCGGGGTCGGAAGCGGGGCCGCCCCACGTGGGGCGGGCGGTGACGCCATCAGAGCGCGCGGAGGCCGGGCGGACGCGGCGTCGAGGGCGGCCCCGCCAGGACACGTCATCACGGCGCGCCCCGGCTGTCAGGCGGCACGTGGGGCACGCGCCGCCGCCGGTGAGTGTCGCACCGGGTCCGCCGTGACAAGGTCACCGCCCGACCCCACACCGCGCCGGGGCACTGCGGGCACCGGACCGGGGCACGCCGGAGGCCGGCACCGGGCTGGGGGCACCGGGGACACCGGGGACGGGGAGCAGAGTCTGGGCTGGGGGGACTGGGGCACCGGGGACACCGGGGACACCGGGGACGGGGAGCAGAGCCCTGGGCTGGAGGGACTGGGGCACGGGGGGCAGCGGGGACACCGGGGACGGGGAGCAGAGCCCTGGGCTGGAGGGACTGGGGCACAGGGGGCAGCGGGGGCGGGGAGCAGAGTCCCGGTTAGAGGTACCGGGGATAGCGGGGACGGGGCGCAGAGCCTGGGCTGGGGTGACTGGGGACACCGGGGAAGGCAGGCTGGGGACAGTAGGGACAGGGCAGCGGGTTCACCACCCGGGGACACGGGGCACTTCGGGGCTGGGGAAGCGGTGCTGCGAATGCTGAGTTTCGGAGGGGAAACACCGGGACCCCCAGGGGAGCGGCAGCAGGACGGCGGCGGGGTCAGTGGGTGACGGGGACAGGCGGAGCGCCGCGGCTCTGGGTCATCGGCTGACGGGGGCGCGGGGGTCACCGGGGCTGGCGGCAGTAGAGCCTCAGGGACACCGAGGGCCCCCGCGGCACGGGAGCCTTGGCCCGAGGCCGGTGGGTGCCCCTCGGGACGAGGTGCCCCCGCCCGTGTTTAGTCTGGGCGGGAGAATGCGGGGGGTGACCTTGGACCCTGTCCGGGAGCTGGGCGGTGACGTGTCCCGGGCCGGTGGCGGCCGCGGTGCTGCCCTCTGACCTCCTTCCCCACCGGGATACCCGGCTCTGCCGCCGCTGACGGACCCCGACCCGGCTTGGCCTCCCCCGGCCCCCGGCGGGCAGGCCCGGGCAGGCTGTGCCGGGGTGCCAGGAGGGCTCAGCCTAATCCCCCCAGGCATTCCCCAGGCGAGCATTCCAACGGGGATCACGGTGGGCACAGTGCCACCCGCAGTCCAGCCCCGTCCTCCCTGTGCCCCTAACGCTGCCCCGCCGGGATGGGGGGTCCCCTGCAGCCTGTACCCCGTCCCTGGCTGGGAGGGGATCCTCCACAGCATCCCCTGCTCCTTGGCACCCGCTGCTCCGGGCCCCCCGCAGTCCCTGCATGCCTGGGGAGGCAGAGGGGGGTGTGTCTACCCGGCCACCCCCTCCTGCTGCACAGGGGGCAGAGCTCGGGGGGCCCCGGGATGCCCCTGTGATCGAGGCAGGGGTGCCAGAGCCAGCGAGTGCTCAGGTGTTTGCTCCACCTGGCTGGTGCCCGGAGCCCCTCAGGCTGCCAGCCCCCCTCTGTCCGTCTGTCCATCCCTGGCCGTGTGGGGCGTGTGGTGTGGGGGTCACCCTGCCCAGCCTCTGCCCTCAGGGATGAGAGTGTGGGAGCTCCTCCTGCCCCTCCTCGCCGGTGCAGACTGGGCTCCGCTGTGCCCTCCCCCGCCCCATCGGCCGGTCCTGCCGCGGGGGCTGCGCTGTGCCGGCCCCGGAGCGCCGGGCTGGCGCCAGGGCCGGGCGGGGGGCGGGCTGGGCTGGTCTCTCGCACCGGGGGCGGCTCTGCCGGGGCTGAGCAGTGTCGGTGCGGTTGGGCCGGGCTGGGTTTGGCGGGGCTGTCCTGCTCCGGGGGCAGCCGTGCTGGGCTTGGCTCCGGTGGGACCGGCACTGCCACGCTCAGGGCTGTCCTGCTCCCGGGGCGGCTGGGTGGGGTTTGGCTCCGGTGGGACCGGCACTACCAGTATCGGGGCTGTCCTGCTCTGGGGGTGGCTGTGTTGGGTTTGGCTCCTGTGGGATCAGAGCTGGCCTGCTGTGGGGGCGGCCCTGTTGGGTTTGGCTCCTGTGGGATCAGAGCTGTCCTGCTCTGGGGGCGGCCCTGTTGGGTTTGGCTGGTTCTGCCGGGGCTGGCGGGGCCGGTGCCGCGGGGGCCTGGGTGCGACTGTTTTCACAGCCGTGGCCTCAGTGTTCTTTGGAGATGCTTGGGTTCCCCTCGGCGGGGCAGGTGGGGCAGCCCAGGGGTGGCCAAGCCCGGCCCAGAGGGAGGAGAAAGAGGAGGAGGAGGAGGGTCCGACCAAGTCCCCCCCTCACTGGGTCCTTGAGGCCAAGACAGAGCGAGCGAAGGTCCCTGCGGTGCTGACACGTCCTTCTCGCAGCTGCCAGCGCCGGGGCGATGCCGGCCAGGACGCGCTGCCGGGGCGGCTGCCGGGGCAAGGGGTGCCCATGAGGCCGGCGGGGCGCGGGTGGCCGGGCAGCGGTGGCGCTGGCAGGGCGGCGGCACAGGGACACGCTCACTATGGAGTTCACCACCATCGACTACACCATCTTCGTGCTGCTGCTGGTGCTGTCGACGGCCATCGGGCTGTTCTACGCGCTGAGCGGCGACCGGCAGCGCACGGTGCAGGAGTTCCTGCTGGCCAACCGTGACATGGGCTGCCTGCCCGTCGCCCTGTCCCTGCTGGCCACCTTCCAGTCGGCCGTGGCCATCCTGGGCGTGCCCGCCGAGATCTACCGCTTCGGCACCGAGTACTGGTTCCTCGGCTGCTCCTACTTCCTGGGGCTGCTCATCCCGGCGCACGTCTTCATCCCCGTCTTCTACCGCCTGCGCATCACCAGCACCTACGAGGTGAGCGGGGGGCAAGGGGGGCACAGGGGACCCCGTGCCCAGGTGGGGCAGTGCCCTGACCCCTCTCCCCGCAGTATCTGGAGCTGCGCTTCAACAAGACGGTGCGAGTGCTGGGCACTGTCACCTTCATCTTCCAGATGGTGAGTGGGGCTGGGGAGTGGGGGGGGCACGGGGGGTGTGGGGGCCAGGCACGGCTCAGCACCACACTCCCCTCCTCACAGGTCATCTACATGGGCGTGGTGCTCTATGCGCCCGCACTGGCCCTCAATGCAGGTAAGGGGGGACGGGTGGGAGGGATGCCTGGAACCTGCTGCCCCCCACCCCATTAATGGCCTCCGCCGCTTCCAGTGACGGGCTTTGACCTCTGGAGCGCAGTGCTGACCATGGGGCTGGTCTGCACCCTCTACACTACACTGGTGAGTCCCCGGTGCCGCGGGTGCCCCGTGCCCCTGCCGTGCCGTGGCGATGGGCGCCGTGACCCTGTGGTGACCCTGTGCCCCTGCTGTGACCCTGCCATGACGGCACGGTGTGTCCCCCAGGGCGGGCTGAAGGCTGTCATCTGGACAGACGTGTTCCAGACGCTGGTGATGCTGGCAGGCCAGCTGGCTGTCATCGTGGTGGGCGCACAGCGCGTGGGCGGCATGGCCCGTGTCTGGCACGTGGCTGAGCAGGAGGGCAAGATCTCCGGCATCGAGTGAGTGATCCGCCAGGGCCCCCGTGTCACACCATGGGGACACGCAGGGCAGCCTGGGGGGGGGAGAGGAACCCCCACAGTGGGGGGCCATCCCTGCTGCCCCCTTTCTTGTGGGGTGCCAGTGAGGACCTGCCACTGTGACCTCCGGGTGCTCCTCACAGCCTGGACCCCAACCCCCTGGAGCGCCACACCTTCTGGAGCCTGGCCATGGGTGGGGTGTTCATGATGCTGTCGCTGTACGGGGTGAACCAGGCGCAGGTGCAGCGCTACCTCAGTGCCCGCAGCGAGCGGGAGGCCAAGCTGTGAGTGGGGCTGGGGCTGGGGGTCCCCGCACCCGGGATGGGCCCCCCTTGCCTCCCCCGCCTCTGACACCCGCCCGGTGCCTGCAGCTCCTGCTACGCCGTGTTCCCCTGCCAGCAGATCGTGCTCTGCCTCAGCTGCCTCACAGGCCTCGTCATGTTCGTCTACGACCGGGAGCACTCGCTGACCCCACGCCCTGCCTCCTCTGACCAGGTGGGTGCAGACCCCTTCCCCGTGTCCCTTCCTGAGCCCCAACACCCGCACTGATCCCCTGCCCCAGCTGGTGCTGTTCTTCGTGATGGACGTGCTGCGGGACCTGCCAGGGCTGCCCGGGCTCTTCGTTGCCTGCCTCTTCAGCGGCTGCCTCAGGTGAGTGGGCGGCCTCGGGGCAGTGGCTCGGAGGTCCTGGCCGAGCCCCCTCCCGCTCCCTCTCCTCCCCAGCACCATCTCCTCCGCCTTCAACTCCCTGGCCACGGTGACCATGGAGGACCTGGTGCGGCCGCACCTCCCCGGGCTGTCGGAGTCACGGGCCACGCTGCTCTCCAAGCTGCTGGGTGAGCGGCCGGGGGGCTGCCAGGGGGTGGCTGGGGGGCTGGTGTGGCAGGGGGCTCCCCAGCACCGCCATGACTCCCCTACTCCCCTCCCCAGCTCTCGGTTACGGGCTGCTGTGCCTGGGCATGGCGTACGTGTCCTCCATGCTGGGACCTGTGCTGCAGGTAGGGATGGGGCTGTGGGACCCCCAGCTCCAGCACCCAGACGGGCTAAAGGACCCCCAGCTCTGGCACCCCAAACGGGGTGAGGGCTCCCTGGCTCTGGCACCCCCAGGGTCGTGGGTCGGGCACTGAGGGCCGTGTTCCTGCAGGCAGCCATCAGCATCTTCGGCATGGTGGGGGGCCCCCTCTTGGGGCTCTTCTGCCTCGGCATGTTCTTCCCCTGCGCCAACCCCACGGTGAGTGCCCTCCCACCCGTGAGTGTGTCCCCTGTCCCGTCAGTCTCCCCCAGCCCCACAGGGGTTGGTGGGGAGGTCTGGGTCAGTCCGAGCCCGGCTGTCCCCTGTCACAGGGAGCCGCCTTGGGGCTGGTGGCCGGGCTGGCCATGGCCTTCTGGGTGGGCATCGGCGGCCTCCTGAAGAACATGAGGCAG